GACAGGGAGCAGAGGTAAAGTAGAAGCATTGCAACAATATTTTTCTTCTACTTCACACCTCTAGAAATATTGAGAAGTTCACCAACAAATTCAAGCAGGCTCATGAGGCGATACAATTCACCTACGAATTAGAAGACGACAGCGCTTTTCACTTCCTCGACTTAGCTCTGAAAAGACTCAATGGTGGAGTAATCCAACGTCGCGTGTACAGAAAATGCCCTGGGAGCGGACGGTACACGAAATTTCATAGTTTTGTGCCGCTTAAACTCAAGCGAAACTTGATACGCAGCCTAGTGAGCCGAGCGGAACGAATCTGCTCAAAGGATACCCTTCTCGACGAGCTAAAGTGCATACCTTCAACGCTGAGCGAAAATGGCTATCCAGAAAGTTTCATCAAGGGCAATATGGGGCGAAGGAGAGAGGCACCAACAGTCCCGACGGTGGAAAGGAAGCCCATCTTCCTACAGTTACCATACAAAGGGGAAATCGCGGCGGAGGTTCTATCCCGCCGTCCTTCACACACACACACACACACACACAGGTGTGCCTTCCCAGCGGCGAAGATGCAGATCCAGTTCACCAGCAGCCCAATGATGAGACTAAACCTCAAGGATAAGCCGCCTGTTCACGCCAAATCAATGTGTACTTACTCATTCTCCTGTTCCTGTGGAGCAGGATACATTGGTCGTACGAAAAGACGCTTATCCGACCTTACTCGGAATTGGCGGCCACAAAATTACCAACTCTGCTATCGCTACGCATCTTGCGGACACGGGTCACGCCACCAGGTCGGCTAATTCACACAAAACTATCTATCGAGCCTCCGAAAATCGACCAAAGTACGTCTGTAATCGGATGTTAGACGCCACAGAAGCCATTGCACTTCGGTTGTAGGAACCACAGTTGTGCACGAAGAAAAGGCTTACTCGGGCATTAAATCTTCCTTGGCCTGGACGGACTGTGATTGAACCGTGCGAGTACCCCGAGTACACAGCGGTCACCTGATCGCCGTTGCTTTCCGCTGGATGATAGTATTCATCGACTGAATGGCGACCCCTGTGGGTCCATGAACAAACTTCGGTTGTTATGTAATTGTATAAGCCTGATGATGAATGGCCGAAAACGTACGTACGCTTTTAACGTCTTTTGTTTAACTTGTTTTTTTGCTGAGTTGTGTGTAGTAATTACTGATGATGAGGTTTGGCAGTGGAAGCTGCATGGTAGCTCTTTCGCCCATGCCGCCTGATCTTTGCAGGATAGCCAGCTGTTTGTGATGTTATGTTGTTGACATGGTGTGGGCTCTGTAACTCAGAGATTTTCCGGTAGGTGTCCCATCTCTCCCTATTGTTATTCTTCCGTAAGTCATGGTTGTATGACAGCGAAGCATCACTCCAAGTGGCTGATATACTGCTGTTGATGATGGCTAAGTTTCGGCATCAGCACCACTATGTCGGAGCAGATAACTCTTAGACCGCAACGTCTCAACTATTAGGTTTGTTTACTTTCCAGCCTTTCTCCGCTAACCTTCCGGGATAATGAAAGGTTACCGCAGGTTCCAAAATTTTTGTACCCTCTTGGCAATCCCAGTTCCCCCGGAACTTGGGACATTGTATTTTTTGTGTTTGTGATCCCCTTTAAACCACTATTCTTCTGAGGTATGACAACACTGTGTTGCTTTCCGATGATATTATCTTCCTTTGTGTTATCAGATCTTATCTGTAGATGATATTACTTGCTCCTGGTGTTCCCGATGGTTGAACGTTTCTTGGAGTCGCGAGCATTCCGAGACTGCCGACTCATTGTAGCTCTTTGCTAGCCTTAGTCTAAGCACATTTTTCTTTTCTTTCGAGCGATCGAGAAGCATCGAATGTTTTTCCGTGACAGTCATTTCGCGCACTCATCTGAGAATTCGTCAGTTCGTACCGTTCCCGCTGAGCTCCCTGATTGTTCTACGTATCTTTTGCATCGGATGTCAACCACGATGGTCCTTATTTCGCTACTACGCTGTGTACACTACTTACGTGATTTGTGCTAAAGTTCGCATCTTGGAATAACAAGGAGCTGTTAATCAACTGGCTTTTTAACTTGGCAGGTATCACCATTTAATTCTATTGGTGACACACAGGATAATTTGAAGTTTTCGATCGATTGCTTTGTCAAAGACCACGAATAGAAAATGAACAGCGGTAGTGCACCTGTACATCGGACCGACGCTTTGCTGCCCCCTTCGACCACCTCAATCGCCTGCAAGTTATGACATGCTGCGATGTCTCCAGCATATCTGCAGACTCGAACCAGTAACCTGTGATGGATCACAAACTAGACGCCTGAACCACTGGGCCAGCAGCGGGCACAAATATCAAGGGCGAGCGATAGTTATGTGGTCTCTATAGATATTAAATCACCATCGCTAGTAATCCGTTCACTGAAGTGGTCACTGCGTGCAGCGACTGTGCAGACTCGGTTCTTCAACCAACGATTATCTATGTAAACTGTGAACATTTGGTCTATAGCTCATGGGGGGGAGTTTAAGAAACGCTCTGGTGGCTCACTGGAGTGTTTACTAAAATTAACCGCTTATGTTGGTTAGTTCATTTCCTCCGCTCTTGCTGCACCATGTTTAACGAAGCTGTGGGGTGACCAGTTGATGTCGTGACATGAAGGCATTCAAAAATTGACCAAGAGACTTGGTCAGGCTGACGCGTGCCATCTTCGTGGATGGAGGCCTCTGTGTGGTCCCACGTCAATGCTTGGAGATTATCCGACATGGCGCAGTCGCATAGTCATTGAGTCTCTTTCATTCAGTCTTCTTTGCACTTAGCTGTTGCCGTTCATTCCATTTAGATTAGTTTTACGCAGTTCTTTTTTAATCCATTTTCTTTGTGTTCTGTTTGCGTTCTGCCTCATTTGCTTCACCATTGTTAGTCGGCCGTTGGCCGAAAGAATTTTTCGCTTGCCTTGTCATCTGGAGGTAGCCGATTCGAATGAACGTGGGTGCGGGCGATCTGGCGATATATCCAGTCCAAGCAGGACCGGTGGTGGTAGCATGGCAGCGAAACTTCCGTATGGTATGCCGGTGTACTACAGAAGCCTTTTTCACCATTGTTACTTATTTTGGCTACGCGATTCGTGGCGACTGAATCCAACGCATTTCGTTTCCCTGACTTAATTAAACACGCTTCTTTACCACACAGCAACACTGACCGAAGTGAGAGTTGCTAAGGGAGAAAGCAAGGGATGACCTTGTATAATCTGACTACTTTAGCAAGCATACAGAGTTTGATGCACATGCACTTCTTCAATAGTTCACCGTTACAAACAGAATGCTAACATGGGATGATAGTATGGCATCGATGAGGGCACATGTTACAGGGCTGACACAGCCCTGCAAAACTCACCCGGGTTTCACAGACGCCAACACACTACACGCCTGAACAACACAGTCGCTATGCAAAGACCCAAACTACTCAGTTCGGAGCGGTGCTCTCAATACGGAAACTAACGCCAAGGGCGCACTCCTTTGCCCAGATCACCACGGAGTTGTCCTCAGTGAGAACAAGGCCAACGTATCCCGCACGGTTTCAACTGTACCCGCCGCGGTTTCACTATCGTATCTCCCGGACTCTTCTCAAGTGATCCATCTGCTTTTGTGCTGTGTTCATGCTTTCGCGTAATCCACCGAGCATACTCAGCAACTGTGATGGGCCCAACGTCTCAACAGTCTCAACCCAACCCATCTCTGCACAGAAGTAGAACCACTACATGGTAACTTATGTGCGGGCCTTTCCTTTATAGTTTATACAATTACTACTGTTTTAATGCACTACAAAAATGTTGATGTAGAATGCACGGTTATCTTGGTTGAGTCAATAAAGCATTCTTACTTCTGCTCAATCTTCTTTCTGCTGGTTTCGGTACCGTCGTACGTCCTTTTCCCGTTCCATCTGCCTTATCATTTACGAGTTCACGTCTGCCGGCTAAGTCCACTAGCCAATCGTCTAGGCTACTCTGCGCGGGGGAAACAACAAGTGAAGTGTTTGTCCGTTCCGACTGGGACAGTCGAAACCCGACCAGGACCTACATAACAGCAGTACTTTGCAGCTTTGACTGCCCTAAGTCATGCTTAATCCTACTTCACGATTACTTCGTATAGAAGACGCCAGTAGATGCGAAACGAGTGACGGTTGCGAGCCATATTCTATAGAATCTCCTGCCGTGAACCGTGTGCACTCCGGTCTGTTAGTTAGACCATTGTTCTCAGTGACTTTATCTCCTGTTTCCAAGCCAACTTCAGCTCCCCCCCGAACCGTGCGCTATCCTCTACTCAGCAACTGAAATGAAGCCCTCCACCTTGAGCTGTTAGCGGTCATACGTGGGGCGTGCCCGTGCCTCAACGTTCTTGATTCGCTGTTTCTTGTTTTTTTAGTTCTTTAGTTCTCTGCTATGTACACCACCTTTGTGGATACACACAGTGCCTCACAGGCAGACCTGAAGTCCCCCCTAAGCTCCTCGGATTTGTGTACACCATCTTCCAGACCGATGGAATTCCCTTTCTGACAACAAAGATGTCGCAGATTCGAGATTACCATTCTCCGCACTTTGGTACTCGTATTAGATTTGCTGCATCGGGCTAAATCGCCCATTTCATGGTTCACCGTTGCTTTCTACTTACACCTCACTCAGGCTGCTGCTGCTGCCTTCGCCATTTAGGCCAGTCGTGATAACATGCGATGGTACTATAAGCTTTGCGGCTCAAAGTGTTATTCGTATGTGGTTTGACGCGTGACACACGCCATATATTCTCAGGCAATGAGTTCACTATCATCTTCCCATATCTTGGCTATTATTTCCTCACTGGTTTTCTGTTATTCGCAGCAGTATTCTGCCCTTCCTCCAAGACTGCCTTGCCATTCTATTCTACCTTATGTCTCCCTCACAATACTTTGGTCTGTAGCTCGTTTGATGCGTCTTCAACTTCTTTCCATAACTCCGCTTTCAAGGTGGGCACAGAAACTCTGATTGACAAATCAAAGTCTACGAAGAGCGTACTCATGCAGCTGTTTGAACAGTGCGGCAACTTCGACGTCGAAGGGGTGGATGTGAAAAATGCATGTTTCGGCGGCACCGCTGCTCTGTTCCACGCCGTGAACTGGCTAGAGTCAAGTGCATGGGACGGTATGTGTTGACATGCACATCACGTTTTTTTTCATTTTTCCACGATGTTCGGTCTGTAGACCTTTTACAACTTTTACTTTCTCAGCTACATTATCTCTGTTTCTAACATGTGTTGTCCCGTTCTTACTAAATGCCCTGTTAGATCTTCCACATTTGTGAAATCCTAGTTAACCAGGTTTCCTTTCCGGGACACTCTCTATCCCACTCAAAACCATTAGACAAAGACTGACGCGATGGCATGTTACCACACGTGAACGCCAACGCATATTCATAGGTCAATCCAGGAATGTTCACATCCGAAAATGCCTCAAGCAACTACCAAAATGTTCGTGTTGTACTGATCGGACCAGTTGGAAAGCACGTCACGTCACCTCGTGGACCTGGATGTTATTTCATGCAGCCATATTCTTAGATCGATTTGATACTTCGGTTGCACACCACTGGTCCAAATCGTTTTCTCGTTCAAATAATGAGCTATTCCCGGAGATTTTACTTTCTTCCTGACGTCCTTCTTGAAATCGGACATGCGATGTAAGATGATAGCTTTGGGTTGACTTGCAGTCTTAAAGCTGGTGTTCTTCATTTGTTATTCCTTCGCTTGTGTTGAAGCGTCTGTCGGTTCCAACGGTGTAATGATGATGCATCACCGGTTGTTAACTTGACGTGATTCACACACGGAAACTCAGCTGGCCTTGTCGTTTCTGGCTGACACTCCTTGGGACGCAACAGATTTGCATGGCGAACCCAAGTTTTCAAGCCGATGAGGACATCTTAGGTGACCTCCACTGGAGGTCATGTTACGTGGCCTTTCCGTAGTCACCTGCAATAACTGACCGGGCTTGAACGATCGTTTCTTTGTTCCGCCGATTGAATTCTCACTCCATTTTTCGGTTTCTTTCATCCTATGTGGACTCGTGGGTCTGCCGAACAGCAACGAATCTCGTGTGCAACTTCCCAGACATGATTAGCCTCCTGGTCTGTGAATTTTACTCATCCTATAAGTGGTATACAGTAAAACCTCTGTAATTTGACAGATCAAGTGACTGAACCAAAGTAATCAACATAGAGGGATGGTCAATATACAGTGGTCCGGATCCATGAGCTTTGCTCAGTGAACCTTCATGCAATGAAAAAAGTAAATGATGAACTTAGAGAGGTGGTCAAGATATAGCAGTGTTCAATTTCTGAGGTATTTACATGGGGGCATCAGATGCCGGACGCTTCGTTGCTATGCAACCACACCCGCTACGTACAGGCTGGGAACACGGTGAGGTCGTTTGTACGTCATCATCATCAGCAGCAACAGCAGTACATCAGCCATTTGAACTGATGCTTCGCTGCCATACAACCATGAGGACCTATGAAATAAAGCATAAGAAGAGGGCGAGAAGGGGGACTTACCTGAAAACCTTAATGTTCTAAGCAAACATTCTGGGTCAAGGCGCCTACACTTTGTGTAGACACCATGCCGTCACAAACAGCTGCGGCATCGGCGAGACAGCTTCCTTACGGCTTTCACTGCCACGCGTCATAATCAGCCATTACCTCGCAGATAACTCAGCACCAAACACACTTTAAACAGGCAATCCGACTAGGAAACGGCAGCAGACGCGCCACTGGTGTCGGTTGCGAGCCATGTCCTGTAAAGTCTCGAGCCAAGCACAAGGCGAGTCACGTGAACTCCAGCCTGGAATGCGAGACGGATCAACGGCACTCAGTTTGGTCGTCAGTGACTTCATCTGCCGCTGCCAAGTCGTTTTCACGTACTCGTGCCCGAATCATTGAGCTGTGGGTCACATGCCAGATGCCTTAACAGTTCCGCCACCGGCCTATGTACATCACCCTGACATCGTTGCGAATGACATGTCCACTCTTTTCAAGCCATGATATTCTAGATTTACCACTTGTGAACACAATGTTGCGTTGTACTCATTCAGCTTTTGATTCCGATCTCCGAGACTACTTTTCGTAATGAGACGTGTTAGGATCTACGACCCAGTAGTGGCCGATTTGCCTCTGATAAGGCTTCACGCCAATCTAGGCTGGACGACTGATTCTATATTGTTCAAATCCAATTTACACGTGCGTTCATCTGTTGGTGACCACTTACCGCTTCGTATGCACCGAAGCTTGTTTCCTTCGAGTATTTTGCTTCCGAAAAGTGCCTCATATCTTTCACATCACAGGCAACCGTTTTGGTTTCATCGATCGAGTGAGATACAGTCGGTTTGTCCAGCTGCAGACAGGCAACGCAGGCGATTTGTGCCTATCGTATAGTTCACATTTTGTTAGTCTGTTGCGCGAACGTATTATCGTCTTTGGTTTGAGTCAGTGTGGACGCATAGGTTATGTGGACGTGTTTATTCTCGAAGTCATCCTGCTTTGCGATAAAGCTGTAGCGAAGCACTTTAGATTCGACCAATCGTGATCGACTTGCACAGTGTCCATGCGTGGTTGAAACATCGACATTCCTTTTACATTTGTCAGACTTAAAGTATTGTTCTGTAGTTTTGACACTGCGCCGTTCATCACTTCGTCTGAGCTTGACCGGTGCAACTTCATTCAATTCGTTGTAGGGGCCTCTGCAATTCATGTGCGATCGCCTAAATTTTCCACCAGTCATTGTGCCTTTATTTTCTTTTGTGTGTGTGTGCGCATTTCGGCAGCACTTTGTGACCTGCTGTTCATAGTTCCATTCATCGCGACTAGTGTGGGTCAGTCGCCTGTCACACATACGCCAAATCATCAACAACATGCATTCATTGAGCTTCTCTCTGGCATTTGGTTACATGCCTTCTTCAGGCCAAAGAGCTTGGTGTACACCAATGGGCACTGGTTAGGGAACCGGCTCACAATAAGAGGGATGGTGATGGATACGTGAGCAGTTATTATCATTAGTTCATTTCGATTATTTGAAGCGCGGATTCTCACTTCCACATCGCTTATTCTGTTTTTTTAAAATAAGGTATGTGAACCTTCAGAATTAGTAACCGGAAGTCATCGCCTGACCAGAAGACAACGTCACCGATCTTTTCTTCTGTTTTTCCTCACTACTAATGTATCGGTGAAGTACCCAAATGCACAGAGGCATAATTATCAGCTTCATACCAGATGCGCGACACAGCAGCATTCGTTTTAATTATCACTTCAGTTGTCACTGAGGAACTAGATGTACGAACTCAGTGCAAGTTGGTATTGCCTCCAGTTCGCGATACAATAAGCACTTGAGGCTGCTTGTAAGCTTAGCTTCCGTTATCTGGACAGTGGGTGGATTTCCGAAGCTTCGACAAGCGTGGCTAAGCATAATATTGGTTCTCTAATATATTTAGTTTCAATTTGCAGCAGCCTATGATGTTGGTAGATGCCGAGGGCTCGTACGATAGAGAAAGCCGATATCATTGCGAGCACCAGAGTGCTGTTTAGACTTATTCGATACGCAGGTCCAGGAATTACAGTATCCGTGTCAGTCATGTTGACTCGAAGTTCAAAGGGCTAAGGACAGAAAGATATTGGCAGTGCTCTCTTCTTTCTGTTTCTTTTTGCTTAAAGGGGTTTCCACGTATCCGGCAGCAAAGCTTACAGTGCGCAGATGACTCGCTTCAGCGCAGTTACCTTCGCGCAGATGGATGCAGAGCATCTCAAACTTTGGCATAGGTTTTTCTCGGTGCCACAACAAAGGTAAACCAGATCCGCACATTTGCGGGTCATTCACTCGAACTGGTTGATCGATTCGCCTATCCAGCTAGTCGTATCACCACCCCTGGTGATCACATCACCGAAGAAGTTGCCTCGCGGATCAGCAGAGCTTTTGCAACTTTTCAAAACCCCAACCATCTGAGAGCTTGGTCTAACGGTAGTGCACTACAGCCAGTGTTACTGGATCTTTGAATGTCATTGAATGCTCAGGACTTTAGCACAGCGGTCGCATAGCATCCCTCACATCATGTAGCAACACCGAGTAAGACAGAATTTAGCCAGCTGGTGTGTAGCAACGAATTCTCTATTGCCCTACCGGATTAGCTCCATAACTTGTACTATCCATGTTGAATGGATCTGTTTCCTCGACTGGCCATTAGCCAGTTCGAGTGCGCGTACTCGTCGCTGACCAACCTACTGTGGTTAGGTCGGTTTAAATCATAGCTATCCGTCAATCAGTTTTATGCCTTCCGTCCATGAGTTCTACCAAAAACGGTGGCTTGATACATGTCAACTGATTCTATCGTACTTCGACGTTCGTATCATGATTATCGGCAGCAACCTCTTCTGGATGTCCGTAAAAACTTCCTTTTTTACGCACTTTCCTGCCGGTAACGGCCTTTTGTGCGCATCCGAAACGCGGTGCACCCATCGTTCTGCTTACACACCCCCTTTTAATTCACCACGTTACTGGGATCACCGTCTTCGTTCGCCTATTCTCCTTGTGTTTTTGATGCTGGAATCATTGCATTTATGGTGTGCACTTTACCACACAACTACAATGAGTGTCACAACGACCGCAAATACAACCACTCACAGACACCATGTTCTTCATTTCTCTCTTTTTATAGGCCGCCTTGCTTTGGTGGTGGCCGCAGATATAGCCGTCTACGGAACGAAAGCTGCTCGCCCCACAGGGGGTGCTGGAGCCGTTGCTATTCTCCTTGGCCCGAATGCGCCCCTCGTGTTGGATTCAGGTCAGTTCTCGTTTGCAATTTATTTCATTGTTTACGTAGGATTTTAGTACGATATACTATATAGTGTAGTATCCTCGATGCCCGTCGGGCATGCCGCACCTACCATAACCCACGAACGATGCGTTTACATACTACTGTCAAATAAAACATTGTACCACAAATGTCACTGCTCATATTTGTTCGCTGTTTGCTTTTCAATTGTGGATGCCTGAAGTTGACATACGAACTGGAGTTGCTAGTTGACGTCTTCTTGATGCTTCGTGGACATCACTTATAACATTCGTTGTCCATTATTTTGAGGTCTCTTGAGTGCCCACTCAGTGTCCCATTTTCGTTATTCAACTTTTCAACTAATTTAAACATCACCCTAGACTTTAGGCCGTTTGCTCTTGTCTCTTTCAGGCCTTCGAGTTCATCACGTGCAACATCGGTACGATTTTTACAAACCCGATCTCAGCTCTGAGTATCCGACAGTCGATGGAAAACTCAGTATTCATTGCTATCGCGAAGCATTAATTTCCTGCTACCGAAACTACAAGAGGAAAGTCGCATTACGCTCCAATTCAGGTAACCATGTTATAACCGTCGCCACTTTTGTTGTAACGCCATGGTTTGTTACGGTTTCTTAGTCAGGACGGAAGATTCGGCTTTTGAGGTCTGTACTCCGCACGGATACATCGCTGATGAAATTCGGAGCGACACACCCTCTAAGACTTTCCGGTTCAACGGTTTTCAATTTGCTGTACCGAAATGACACCCCGCACGACTATTCGCGACTCCAAGACAGTGATCTTCGGCAGAGGCGCTTATACAGACAGCCGGAGGTAATACACCATCTGTATCGCTATCGGAATTTGGCGTCATTAAATCCAATAATGGCATCGCTGTAGGGATCACTCATTAGGTTACCTGCTATCATTGCCTATGGGAAGAACTAAGATAATTTCCATCTGATAACCCTGTCACCATATCAACTGTACGTTCTACCCTGCTGTACGGTTGTAAAACCTGATCCATTAGATCAGCCGACATAAAGAGGCTAGTTACGTTCGACCACCGGTGCCTTCGTAGTTTGGCTCATATCTGGTGGGAGCACCATGTGAGCAATGAGCGTGTTCGACGTTTCGTGTTTGGTGCAGAAAGAGCAAGTGAACCGCTCAGCACCGTTGTTTCATGCACCAGGCTCCGATCGCTGGGCCACATGTTACGCATGTCAGCCCACTGACTCCCGCGACGTTCGTTGTTTGCGCGTCGGGGTTGTGACTGGAAGACGGGAGGGGTGGCCAAATGATGACCTGGTCAATTGGAATGAAGGCGCTTAGTTCGAAGTTGGCCTTGGTTGGGGCTTTTAGGCTCCCTGGTTAGCATCCGAGAGACGATGAACACGTTTGGTTGGATACACTTGTTGACTGGCAAGGATCGACCTCAGTGACATTTGTCTTGTGAGTTTCTTTGCCCCTTCTCCTCTCGCTTAGCCTCCCCCTGCAACCACGATCCCATTTATTAGGCCCAACATTTTTTCCGGGCACATTCGCCGGCTGGTAGCTCTACGGAACGATGTCCATCCGTTACTGGTCTCTCAGCCGGTGTGCCTCTGTTGCATTTTTTCTTTTATGTATTGCGGCACAGTAGCTGAGGTGTTTTCCACCTGTAGGCTAACGTATATAAGGATGATGTCACGCATAATGAACTGCGTTACCGTCCGACGGCAACAGCGTGGCATAATCGGAGATCGGGTCAAGTCATCCGCAGTCCAGGTTGTGTGGTGCTATGTCTGCACTGCGCATCAAACCATAGTTTCATTAGCGATTTTCAAACGTTAATGAAAACTGATATCGGTCTACACCTGTTCAACCCCACTGCGTTCTTTGCTCTTCTTTCATGCGCTCACTTATTTTTACTGATCTTTTGCGTTAAAACTGGTTTGCATTGCTGTATCCTTTCCACTGAACGTACTGTCAAAATACCTTTGCTTGCATCTAGTCACATTTTCTTTTTGTCATCGCATTGTGACGCGCTTTGTATTCTCTATCGTCAAAAGTATTCCTGCACCTATCCCGGTTCCTTATTTCATCCTGAGCTGCCACACACGTACGCACTCGAATGTTACTTGGCACAGGTATTGCTAATATCTCGCCGCATAGACTGCAAGGTGGCTTTAGGAACACTCTGGTACTTAATTTTCGATACTTCGGCACATCTGGCTTCCATCGTTTCAACCAATTGTAGTCGTGTAACACGGTTTAAGAAAGCTGATCCTACCTTTTATAATCCCAAGTGCATGCATTCGCGTCCCCGTTTTCTGTTCAACTTAAGTTTGCAACACACTGACGCACATCGGTCATCATTGCCTTCTTTGAATTATGTCCTAAACCACATGGTTGATCATTAGGGACAGTAGTCAAGTAGATAAGGCGTCTGCCGTGCAATCCATACGTCAATTTCTCGATTTTACTTAGATACGGACGACCTGACGACGCGCGTAACTTGCGTGAATGGCGCGGTCACGTGACGGCGTAGTGTCGGTACGTGTCTCCGCTTTCTTCTTCGTCATAGGTGTCATGCTACGTCTATCCACGGCCTCGAGGAAATGATCTCTGAATGTTAGACTGGATTTACCGAATGAGAAGATGCTTTGACGACTTAATCGCACACGGCCGACTCGTCAGCACGATCTTTCTTGACATAAAGACCACTTTCGACTTGGTTGATGAGGCCAACTTGTAATCCTGGATGTCGCGGAAAGGCCTGTCGCACCTCGATACATGTGTTCGAGTAACGTTTTGCGCCACGGTCGTGGTTTGAGTGATCGGGGACGATTGCCTTCTCATCTCTCCGCAGATGTTCCACCAATTGACCAACTGGTGACGAAGCCCCGTGGTTCGGATACGTCAATACAATGCCCTCGGGTATGTTTGTGCTGAACTCTGCATCCATCTATGTGTTTCATATTTTAAAAACGATTTGTACTGTGGTGGACTCTACCAGCATCCATCAATTCTATCTACCATCGATTAGCTACAAAGGTCGATCGTTCTCTTATCTAGTCAGTTGTATAAACTAGTGATCAGGTAAACATGGAAGCTGCCCCATACATCCACAGGACCATCGTATCTTTCCTACGGAAATCGCGAGGTACCAGCGTGCCATTCTTGTGGAAGGTCGACCGATCGCCGTGTGGTTCAGCCATTTGTATTCCACAGGTCACCTGCTCGAATCTGTGCAGATGCAGGCTACCTTGCAGCATCCCTACTTCGCGGTCCACTGGTAGCAGTCGCTCGGCAGCGAAGCTTCGTTGCCACTTACCATCATGCTGCTGATGCGTGCAAGTCCCCGTGTGTTGCGATGCATCAATATTCACTCTGAGCCGGAGACATGTACGCAATGTGCCTTAAAACCGTGGCGAATCTGGTCGCTATTTATTTTAGACTATTTCAACGCTTCGCTGCTTATCTTTCGAAAGCAATGTGTATGGGGGTGTTAAAGTTCCCGTTCGACGCATGGAATCGGTTCCTGTGTTACTGTGCGAGGCTTTTTATATTGCTCCTTCGGCGTTATATGCGTAGCCTTGAGGTTCGGTCACCATCTGTCCACAGTGTGTGCATTGACTGCGCATGTCGCACCTCTCGGTTCAATGCAGTGCACCGACTTTGCTCCGATCTTCAAAGTGCGTTGGATCTGATTACCTTGAGGGGCTTAGCCATAGGTAATGATACTGTCATTTGGCATGGATACACGGCAAATTCATCAAATTGAACCATTAAGGACAATATGTGGGCGCGCCACTACTGGCTTTGTGTCCGGCAGTGTGTCCGACTACTAGCGTGGCCGATCTCAGGGACCCTATCCGCGAAGATAACAAGAGGCAACCCGCTTCAGCCCTTCGGTGGATACAGTTCGTGCGCTTTTACTCTGTCCTTGATTGACGGTCTCGAGGTTTCTTGCTTTATTCGCAAACATTGCATTCCGAGGCAGCTGGCTTGTGTTGTGTCGGCGTGGCAGACTAGACCAACCTCGTAAAGAAAGAGCAAGCTGGAGTCTATTGGAGACGGACGTGAGTCAAATTGCACTGAAACAAACTATGTATGTATGGCTCGCTTGATCGAGTGTTGACTTCAGGCTATCACGGCTGTTGATCGATGCGTTTCCTCCTTGTTTCGATTTGACTACTGGGCGTTAGCTCGTATTGACTTTTTGGCCTCAGCTTGTTCTAACCATTGGGACAAATACTTGTTTTCACCTCTGGTCATGGGGTTTGTTGAGCTGCACTCAAGGAAACGCACCAGCTAGCACCTCACTCTTAGTTTGCCCGATGTACTATCTCCGTGGAACGGAGTCACCGGCTTCCGTGCATAGACGATGGTGTTGTCTGTCGTTGGCAGTAGGTTGGAAGTCGTTCTGACCTAAGTAGGCCACTCTAGTTCGAACGCTTCTAATAGGAAATCAAAGCTAAATGATCCATCACCACTCTTGATCACGAGAAATCGTTCGTCGGACTTGCTTATCATGGCGCCTCTTACCAGCTTGCATGCATTCATGCAGAGCACGCAACGGCGCTACCGTAGGCGATTCAGTTTCCACGAACACTCCAACAAGGCATCGGAGTGAGCCTGTTGCAAACCATCAGGTGATCAACTTTAAGACTAGTCACTTGGGGCGCCCACGGCCCCCTTATCCGTGCTTTTGGATATTGGAAATTGGGAGAGCTATCCATAAAGTCTTTTCGTCGGATTCCGAGCTCCAATTCGGTGGGAGGGTAAGCCGAAACAACCGTCACCCTAACCCTTCGCTCTGTAAGGACCCGCGATGCATGCGGAATCATTACATGTTTGAACACAACTAATACTAGATGCATCCGTTCCGACAAACGAGACATCCACTCATCTTCGCTATCCCTGTTGGAGGTTGCATGGCGCAAGCTTCCTTCTGTCTCCAGGGGTTGTGTGGTGTGCATTGCTTGTGCGTCCACTCCTCGCGCGCATATGACTACGGTTCTAAGTGTTCCTCTTGTTTGGGGAATTCATTATGGCTTGCTGTTTGCTGGTTGCCGTTTCATATATTGGCCTTTTCCACGCTACTGATAACTGGTGCAGTAGTGTCTGCCTTTAGTCTACCACACTCCTCACCCTCCAATGCACTCGGCCCAGCTGCTTTCAGTCGGAGTATTTTTGACTGTCGGAGATGTTTACTGTGCGAAAGAAGTTCCTCCTCCAACTCGTGCCACTTCCTCAACTCTGACATGAACTTACCGTGAATCTCCTTGCTGAGCGATTGTATACACTGGGCCTTGCCGGTTGACCACCTCGTACGGTCCTTTCCACTTCGGTAGGAGTTGACTCTCCCTTGGGTCACAACTGGGAGTGCGTTGATGGTCTCTGTATTTCACCTTCGAACCGATCGGAAACTCGACATTCATCTCATGATTGTTGGTCTGGGACTTCTCCATCCTTTGCGCCTGAGTTGCCTTCAGGTTACGGTTGTCTGCCTTCCTGTTATCCTGTGACTCTTTGGGAGATATTCGGCAAATTGATCACATTCCAACCTCTAGATCCACAGGTAGACGAGGTGCTCAACCGTACATCAATTGGAATGATGATTTATTTATAGAGGCCTGTTTGGGCCAGCTACGGCAGTAGCAAAGCTTCCTCCAAGTCTCACCCTATGCTGCTAGCCACTTTAATCGTTTTGTTGTTGCGCTCCGTCAAACCATTTGTCTGCGGATGGTATGGGGTTGTCCGCACTTTCTTCCTACCAAGTTTCTCCAAGCAGTTCCGAAATTCCTCACTCTCGAAGTACGGAAGTACGTAGTCTGTTAATATGGCCT